GTTTTCATTTCTGTTGTTTCAGTTTCAGTTTGGGATTTTATTAGGGGTCCACAGGATGGATTCCCGAATTGTATGGATTGGAGGTTTTGGAAAGTTTGGTTTTAATGATTAATAATTGATGATTTTATTATTTAGTATTCGTTCAGCGTTATTATTTATTTATTTAATTCATTATTTTGTATTCTGTGTTTGTTTTAACATATTAATTGTTTGATATTCCTCGGGTTTTGGCCTGGGCCTGATCAACCCGTGTCTCGGATCCGAGGGGTATTACATAAGCCTTTAATACTTTTCTGTGATAATGAAGCTGTCACAAAATATGTGAAAAATGAAAAATTGACCAAGCGTAATATGCACATAAATGTAAAGTACCTTTACGCGTGCGAGAAAGTTAAGAAAGGTATTATTGAGGTTCTCCGTATAGATGCAGCAATAATGATTGCAGATCCTCTCATTAAAGGTCTTAAGCCAAAAATATTTAAATAACATGTGATTCGGATGGGTATTCAAGAGTCATTGTGTAATAATGTCTGATTTCTCTATTACATCATGTTACATTGCAATTGTTTTTTTTTTTTTTTAGTTTATTTACAGTGACAGTTATTTGTATGAAAATAAAGTTATGATGCATCATCATTATTATTACATTGTTATATATTATATGTGCATGTGTTATTCTTATTGCTTGAAGGTAGTATTTCACTCGTGAAGTTGTTTGGGCTAGATGTGAAATTGGCATCAAATTGGTAAATCCAAACATAACTACTAAAGTTTGCCTGTGGGAGTGTTAACGCTCTATGAGGATAACTTGGGCTAGATATGAGATTGGCTCTATATCGGAAAACCCTCACACTGAACAGAAGGTTGGCGATTTGCTGTAATATGTTCAGGTAATATACCATAGTGGTATGAAGCAGGACGGATAGTAAGGTATGCGTTTAGACTACGTGTAGTTTGCACATCTCATTAAATATAGTAAAAACCACTATATTTGCTTGAATCATATACGGAATCGGTTTTGAGACCATGGAACTGTTTAGATTAATATATTACTTGTCTACGCGTTCATGATCTACTATTGAGGAAATTTATGGAGGAGAGTGTTCTAAAGTTTCAATCTATCAATTTCGATAATTGTGTTTTCTAAATAAAAAATAAGTGGCCACTCGACTTTTATAAAGTGTGTTACAATCCGTAGTGTCATTTTATAAAACTTAAAGTGCATAGACCAAGTGGGAGATTGTTAGAAATTTATATATATATATATATATATATAATAATAATAATAATAATAAAAATTATTTTATGGTCCTGTGCACTACGTTTTTTAAAGTAGGATTACAATGTAATTATTGATACTTGATGGATTGGGTTGTACTTTCCAATTTGGTGGTTTAATTGGGAGTATGGTTTTTATACCGTTGGATTGTGGTTTTTCAACTTATTTGGTGTGATTTAATTATAACCATTAATTCCATTATAGGAAAGGAGAGTTAGGTATTCTTGTTTATAGAGAAGCCGTCCCCCCAATTGTTGTTATATACAGGGATTTTAAAACCCTTATTCAGACATATTGTATCTACGACTCTCAGAAAGGGATAAAGCGTTATATTTTTCAGATCTCTCAAAAGGCACTAAAGAATTCACAAGAGGTATTTAAAGTTTAATCTTCTAATCAGGTATGATATCAAAAATTTCTCTTTAATTCATGATTAATTTTAATTTCTACATGTTTTTATTATTTAAACCCAACAGATGATTCGGATGGGGCGAGAATTGGGTCATCGATCGCCGAAAGTGGAGACGGAAGATGGGTTTAGTTTGGCAATGGAAAGGGTTTTTCGGATTCATTGTGAACTCTGATTGGAGAAAATTATAAGTTTTGACATATGTTTAGTCCCGGTTTGATTTCATGTCTCGATGGAATCTTCATATTTTTTCTGTTTGATCTAGTTCCCTTAGTTAAGATGCAATCAAGAAATCATTGCACGACGTAAAAAAAACATACCTCATACCGTTCATGTGATACCCCCGAATTTCTGAATGCGAGTTGGCCAGGCCCACGCCCGAATACCCGAGGATATAAAAACAAATTGATAATAAACGAACACAGAGTACAAAAGAATAAAGAAGAATAAATAAAATGCTGACAAGAAACTAAAATGATAATCTAATAATAAACCTCATAATATATTTCCATTAATTAATAAACTCTTCTGATACAACTGATCCTCCAAAATATAACTCGGGAATCCATACCGTGTGGACCCCTAGAAAATCCAAACTAAACAAATGACAGTATTCTAAAACAGGAAACTGAATCATAAAGGAACTCCTATGTAGCATCGGAAGAATGAAGTAGACTGATCCTCGCTCAGCACGAACAACCTCTACTCGTGACGAACACCTGAAAAATAATGGTGGGTCAGGCCCACAAACAAGTTCTACTCTACTACAGTCTAAGCAGAGATCCGATACACGTATACATCCTAGTCAATCCAACAGTAACTAGTAGTCCGTATATATATATATATATATATATATATACACACACTAAAGGAACCTCACTAGACTATAGGGTTGTCTCAACCTGAATAGTAGGTAACATGCAAAACGCACATATAGTGGGCATGAGTACCTAGACCTACCAGGGTACACAACTACACTACATCTAGCTACACATCCCTGGCGATATACGCACCCTAACCACTGATCCTGAGACTCAAGCTCATATCATGGCACCATACTTATATATATATAATCTAGTAACCATCCTATCCAGTATAAATTAATCCTCCATAAGTCATTCAACTTGTTCAGCTGACCTGACTTGAATATAAGTAGGACTTAACATTTTAGTTAATCCATTCCCTTATATAATAAATTAATCCTCTATAAGTCATTCAACTTGTTCAGCTTACCTGACTTGAATATAAGTAGGACTTAACATTTTAGTTAATCCATTCCCTTATATAAAATAGGTAGGACTTAACTGATAAGTTAATCCGTCCCTAGAATGCCACCGTCCCATACCGGTGCATTAAACCACACAATCCAACAATTGATGTAATAATTAAAGAAATACATCAAACATTCCAGAAATAACTATGATAAATATGATATCAAGTTATCACACAATAGGAATGACTTTTTATTTCTTTAAACTTCCTATATCATATGTCCTACACAAACTGAATCTTGTACATGATGATATTTTATTATACCGTTAAATAAGGATTCTCTATATCCAATTCATCCTACACATTTAATCTCAATTGCTAAAATATTTTAAAAGATTAAATCCATTCGTTTGTTTAAAACATTCAAATAGCAAGCATCATTATGATTGAGTCTATTTAAATTTATTAAAACTCAAACCTAGTCTTTATTTAATGTTCAGGAATCCTAGGCATGTTTCTACGTTCCATCATTCCACATATATGAAAAATACATAATTTAAACATGTAAAAATTCACATCAGAAATCAAATCAAAATCATGCATTTTATTAATTCACAATACAATAACAGATATGAACAAATTTCATAAAACTTATGTTCTAACCCAATTAAACATGCATAATTATTTAATTTTATGTATTTAATAAATTCTGGAATTTCCTAGGCATATACAAAAACACGAATTAAAGGGAAAGAGATAGAAGAAGAACTTGCCTTAAACTTTCGGATCGAAAGTTAAACTTCTTCTTCCTTGATCTTCTCTCTATAGGGTTTTTCTCCTCATTCCTTCATTTTCCTCCTTCCCTCTCTAACACTATCTCTCCAGTATATATCACGTGAATATTTCTAACCCCCTTTTACAACCTATAGCTATATATTTATAGGATAAATAAAATAACCCTAATCCTTTTCCCAATCCAAGTCAACTAAAAAAAAAAATGGAAATAAAAATATTAAAAAGGTAAGCAAAATATGTTACGTATATAATTTATGTATATGTTTATTAAATAAATAAATTATACACATTCCATTATTTATTAATGGATTATCCAATAATACTTAAGTTACTATAATATTATAAAGTAACTTAAAACATAACACGTATCAAATCTATGTATATTTTTATTATTTAAATATAAAATATATACATCAGATTAAATATTACTACTCAATTTACCATAAAAGTAATTAATAAATTACTTTCCTTTTTTATATATGTATATAATATATATCTATATATATACATACACAACTATCAATAGGTAATAATCCACACACATCCAACCTCCTATCCAAGTAATCAATGGGACCCAATTAGTTGGCCTATGACTACTAACCATAACCATAAAAGAAAAATAAAATAAAATAATAAAAGAAAAGAAATCATTTAATGTATAATTAATCAAAACACCATTTAAACATATAATCTAATTAAACAATTAACACATAGACAAATACAAATAATACATAGACACAGAATCAAATAATTAAGAAATATCTAATTCAATGAAACACATAAGTAATTAGTCAAATAATCAATTGAATAATTAACAATACAATTAAAACAAATAAATAAATACCGAGACTATCCTTTTAAAATTAGGGGTATTACAGTTCACTTAAAGGCCTGTTTTGGTCTTAAAAATCAAATCTTTCAACCTTTTTCTATCTGATTTAGTTTCCAAGATTAGTGTACAATCAAGGAAATTATTGTAGAAATAGTGATCATTTGGTGGTGAGTGAATTTACAGCGTCGTCTTCGTTGCTGGACAAGGGTTTGTGAGATATATATATACAAGGACAAGGGTATTATGGGGATTTTAGTAAAAATAATAGATGACATTATCTTCGTTGTTGACTGACGTTGACTACAACAGAAAGAAGGTCTGTGTAGGATATTTTTATTTTTAGGAAAAGTCTGAGTAATTTTCAAAACATCCTATTTACTTCCAAAATTATTTTTCTATTATTATGTAATTTTTCATTTATGATATTTTGGTTTGCATTACTACTATGCACTAAAAAAAAATTCACTCACAAATCTGTCCTTGATTTTCCCAAAATCGAAATAGGATATGCGCAGCACGCACACTAGCGCATATTTGCATCTCCCATCAGAATAATTGCCAAAAACCCGACCAGATTCTTGGGTTTATTAACTTTACTATTTGTTTAGCTTCAGCTTTATTCCCAAACATGCTGACTGTTTTAGGAATATAGTCATATACATGGCATGAAGAAGAAATAGCAGTAACAGAGCTCTCAAATGGCCTTAAATCTCCATCTAACCCTGGCTCTATTGTTAGCCATTTCGAGCTCGCTTTCGTTTAGGGTTCGAGCCATAGGCGTGATCTGGGGCACCACCGACTCGCACCCACTGCCACCACCACAGGTAGTAGAGCTATTGAAGTCCAATAAAATCACCAAAGTCAAGCTCTTCGATGCCGACCCTCTCGTCCTCCAATCTCTCTCCGGTTCCAACATTTACGTTGCCGTCGGCATTCCCAATTCGATGCTCCGACTCTTGAACTCTTCCAAGAAGGCCGCCGAAAGTTGGGTTCACGATAATCTCACCCGCTATTCGTCTAATGCCGGCGGTGCAGTTCGAATAGAGTATGTTCTTTCCCTTTCTTTTTTTCTCTTATGATAGTAATTTGTGTGCTTTTAGACATTGTGTTATTAGAACAAATGTGTTTTTTTTTTAAATTTTTTATTTACGTATTTATTATTATTTTTTTGTACCGATAACGTGGAAGTTGAACAGAGGAGTTCTCTTTGGTTATTATTATTATTATTTTTATATATATATTAGCTCTTAGAATTTATTTCCTTTTGGACTTGTTCTTTACTTTCATTCTTGGGTTGTACCTTTCTTGGTTTGGCTTGCTTTGGCTTCTTTCAATTCTACATATGAGTGCTCTATTATTTTGTTGATTTTCTTCGATTCTGGGCACTAAGTTATCAAGAAAGAAAAAGAAAAAATCTCATGAGGAAGGCTTGGGATTTAAAATGTGGATTGCTGCTTTGTTGGTCTTGTCATTTGTAACTAATTGGGATGGAGGGGTTTATTATCACATTTATCTAACCTAACTGGTGGCTTTGGAATGAGCTGTGCCCAAATAACCATTGCTACCAACTCATTATTGTATTTTTTTTTTAAAGTTTCAGTAAGTCAATAATTGGAGTCTACCTTATATTCTGACATGCCACTAAAAATTAAAATCTTCTCTAGGATGCTTGTTAGTCCCAATTGGTAGTGTCACTTTATGTAAAACTGAAGAATATTACATACAAGGCCTATGTGGATGTCCCCATCCACTTTTCTCATATCAAGGATAACAAGGGACCATTTTTATTTATTTTTATTTTTTTATTTTTTTTTATGTAATAATTATTAAGATCCCTTGCAATGAGAAATGCAAAAGTATCAACGTTATTATTTTTGTGATCACAGATATTTTCTCAAGTATTTCAATTTTAGATAGATTTTGAACTGGTAAGTGAATGATGGCATTGAATGTCAAGAAGACATCCAAAGTGGTTCTAAGTATGCCAACAATATTGGGGTGGATATTGAAGATATCGAAGATTTAATGGAAAGAATTAGAAAATAGGAAACAAGAAGGAATTTTCTCCACTGATTCCTCTAGTAACACCAAATCTTCAATAATAGGTAACAATATCAATTACTGAAAGATTTTTCTCCATTAAATCTTCAATAGTCCCCCTCAAGTTGGAGCATGAATGCCCAACTTGCCATTGAGATGACGAGTAATAACAAAAGTGTGAATGATGAAGAGAGAAGAGAGAAGACGAAGAACAATGGTACCGAACACACCGACTGCCCAAACAAGTCAACAAAAAACTGCTGGAGACACACCAAAGGCGAGGACAATGCTACTGAACACACCGGCAACCCAAACAAGTAAATAAAAATTGCCGTGTACATGGCAAAGACGAAAACAATGCTACTGAACACACCTGCAGCCCAAACAAGTCAATAAAAATTGCCGGAGACACAGCAAAGGCGAATAACGTTACTGCCGAACAAACCGATAGCCCAAACAAGTCACAAATAGCAACGAAAAACCCTTAGCAACATTTCAGATGCTAAGGGAATACTCCAAAATAGGGGTCAAAGCCTAGGAAGAGAAATTAGGCTCTGATACCGTGTTAAATTTGGATGTAGAAAAAAAAAAGGAAGTGGGTGATAGGGCTCAGATCGCGGTTTGGGCTTCTTGTGTTTCCTCCGGAGTGGTTGTTTCACCTCTGCCGGATCCTCTGTTGCTCTTTCGTTTTCCCTCTCCGGCAGAGGCTTCTCGTGTGCTTAATGTGGGTCGCCGTGAATGGGGGACGGCAATTTTACGAATTGACAAGTGGAGTTTCAGAGTGGGGTGTTCTGGAGTGACGAAGGGTATGGGGTTGAAGGTGGTGACGTTGTATGGTCTCCCTCTTCACTTATGGAGTCATGCCGTGTTTGTTTCAGTCGGAGATTTGTGCGGAGGGTTTATTTGGGTGGATGCGGATGAAGCTGTTGACGCTGAAAGGATCCGTATCGCAGTGGCGGACGGAAAGGCTTACCCTCCTTTTGTTTTCATTCACGATGATAAGCTCTGCTATAAAGTGGCGTTGTAGCAGGAAAAGCCTCCCGATCTTGTCCCGACGACGAATAGTTTGGAAGGAGGGGATGGTTCACACTTGCTTAAGGAATCTGATTGCTTGAGGTGGGAATCGATGGGGAGGAAGGGCCTGACTGAGTTTCAGAAATGGAAGGAATGGAGGGATACGCTTTGGATTCGCAATACGGAGTGCTTTAGTTGGATGTCTTCTCTGATTCGAAACGATGGTTCGCCGGCTTTGGTTGACCGTCGCCGTCATGCTGGTGGTCGGGGTTCTCAAAAAGGGGGAGTTTTCACCGGGCTTGGCCGTTAGCCGGTTTTGCAGTGGTGGGATCGAGGACGTAATCGTGGTGTGTTTCACGCGAATCAAGCGCGTGGGTGGGGGAGAGCTGCTAACTAGACACGTGGTTGGCGCTCAGGAGGTGACCGTTCCAAGTGTTTTAGCTGGAACCAACTCGGTTTCAAATTCTTGGGCTCCAAAAGCTGGGGTGCATTCTGATTTTGGGCTTAAGAGTGGGCCTAATGGTGGGCAAGTGAGTAGGGGTTCTGGAATTTCTTCTTGTGGATATTTGGTTGGGCCTTCTCTTGGCTCTTTTGATTATGGGCCAGTGCAAATGGGAGTGCACAGTTCTCTTCCATCTTCTGTTGGGCTGTTGAAGATGCGACGGTCCATCCGGATGCTGCTTATGGGTCTTTGGATATGGGTCGTGAGTTTCAAAATGGACTGGGTTCGACAGTTGTCCCTGCGGTGATCGACAAGGATCAGTCCGGCCCTTTGCCTGCTTCTTGTGATGGTCGTCGTTCAAAGGGGCCGGTTCATGGGCATCGTTTGAGGAAAAAGATTTCTCTTCCCCAGTTTCGTAGACGATGGTCAAGAAAAGAGAAACAAAAATGGGTGCCTCGCCTGCAGAAGGATTTTGATTCGAGTAAGTCCATCTCTTCTCATGGGAAATCTGCTTTTCAACCTTCTTCTTCTTTTTCTTCTCACCCTTGTGAGGTAAATCAAGGGAGTGTGGGGGTTTTGAAAGGTGTGGTGACCTCTGCTTCTAATTTTCTGTCTCTGGCTCTTGAGGAGTGTCCTGCTCCTGCTTGTGTGGAGCGGCATGGTGGAGAGTGCTCTAATAAGCTGGGTTCCTTTAGATAGTGTGATATTTGTTGCGAAGGTGTTTATATTTGTGTGGGGAAAGATGTGAGGATCAAGCTTGATGAGGTTACAGCTTCTGTTTTGTTGAAGGAGTTGCGGGACCATTTGGCTTCAAAGGGTTTGCAGTGTGATTCTAGATTTTCTGGGCCTGATGAGGAGGTTGTGATTCCATTGACTTGTGGTTCTCCTCCTTTCTCTGATGCTTGGGAGGGAGATGCAGTTTGTTCCTTTGTTGAGGAACTGGGGCTGGTCTAGTGGGAGGGGAATGAGGCTGAGGCTGAGGCTGATATGGTTGTTCTGTTGGCTGTTATTCGTCCGGAAGGTGAGAGTGGGAGTTTTTCTGGTGCAGGTGAGGGTACAGATTGTATGGAGGAGGATTGGTTGAGAGAGAAGGGTGGGGAGGTGGGTTCTCTTTTGGGTGTTTCGTTTGAAGGTAGGATGGATGAGGCGATGAGGTTGTTCTATAACGTTTAAATAGGGCGGGAGGAAGGGTCGGTGCTCTAATTGGGAGAGGGGGGAGGGAGGTGCGGAGCCCCTCTGACTTTGTTACTTATGAGAGGAGGTATAGAGGGTCTAGGGAGAGGAAGAGTGGAAGGAGGAGTGGGTTTTCTTCTGCATCTGTTTCCCTATGAAGCTACGAATTCTTTCATGGAATGTCTGGGGTCTTAATGACTCGGCTAGGAGAAGAGTTGTGAAGTCGGTGATTCGTAAAGAGGGAGGTCATGTGGTTTGCCTTCAGGAAACCAAAATTGCTTCGATGACGGACTTGATGGTGCATAGCTTTTGGGGTGGGGGTGGGGGTGGGGGTGGGGGGGGGGGGGGGGGGATTTGTGGAGTGGCTTGCTTTGGATGTGGTTGGTTCTTCGGGTGGTATTTTGATTATGTAGGACAATCGGTGGGTCTCTTTGGAGGATTCTCAGGTGGGGCTTTTTTCTGCCTCATGCATCCTATCTCTGTTGGAAGAAGGCTTTCGCTGGGTTTTCTCTGGGGTTTATGGACCGACAGAGGATAGTGTGCGCCATCTTTTATGGGAGGAGTTGGGTGATGTTCAAAGAAGATGGCCATTGCCTTGGTGTATTGGAGGGGACTTCAACGTTGTTCGCTCTCCTTTTGAGAGGTCTTCGGGGGGTAAATGGATAGCTGTAATGGAGTCTTTTTCGGAATTCATTGATGGGGAGGGGTTGTTTGATTTACCTTTAGTGGGTGGTCCATTTACTTAATCTAGTAGGCGTAATCCTCCTCCCTTCTCTCGTCATGACAGGTTCCTTGTGTCAAGTAATTGGGAGGAGAAGTTTTCCGATGTTGTTCAGGCCACGTTGGCTCGTCCTATTTCTGATCATGTCCCTTTGGTTTTGGATTGTGGTGGTTTGCGTAGCAGAAGATCCCCTTTCAGATTTGAGAATATGTGGCTTCGGGCTGTAGGCTTTCTAGAGCGTGTTCGATCCTGGTGAGTGGGGTATGGTGTGGTTGGCACCCCAAGTCATTCTCTTGCGTGTAAGTTTCGCCTTTTGAAGAATGATTTAAAAGTATGGAACAAAGAGGATTTCGGTAATTTGTTGTGGACGAAAAATCGTGTTTTTTTTTAGATTGATCGGATGGAGGGCCAGGGTAGTTTGGCGGAGTCCCTGAAACTTAAGAGGGTGGAGTGTCAGGCGGAGTTTCCTGAAATTGCTGTCTTGGAGGAGATTTCGTGGAGGCAAAAGTCTCGAGCCTTGTGGCTTAAGGAGGGCGACAATAACACTAAGTTTTTTCATCGTCTTGCTAATGCTCATAGAAGGGGCAATCACATTGGGAGGATCTGGGTGGATGGGGTGACGTTTTGTAAGGAGGAGGAGATTTGTAAGGGTATT